TATTCTACTCCTACTATATTCTTGGGGTTCGGCCTTAACAACTGGAATAGGGTTTGCTGGGTAGTAAGGAGTAGAATTAGTAATTATTCGTTTCTTATTGTTTATCGAAATACATATAGACATAGCGGGTTTTGAGTTTAGTTCATAGTTCCCTAGACAACAGGGCTGCTGGCGTGGCCGTGCTTGACGAAGCCGAGGGAGCTGTTGACGCGGAGATTCAGCTTTGCTCTGCTGGCTTCCTTGCTTCAGCGTTTCACATCTTCCTGGCTGAGCCACTCGAATGCCCTCGGGGGCCTGCTGAAGTAAGATTCTGTGTCTTATGCTTTTTGTTTTTTAGGGTTTAGGGCTTCGGGTTTAGGCTGATTAGGGTCCTCTTACCACCCATGCCATCAACCTCCAGGCGGAAGATCGCATTTAAGCAAGGGGCTTGGTGCTTGCTTGCCTACTGATGAAAGCTTGGGGTCTTTATGATTTGACGGCTAGCCTCTTCTGAAAAGAAGGGACTGAAATGGGGGTTTACGATATTGGGGGTACCTCGTTGGGGTCCTTACTACAAGGGAATCCTGCTATTTGGGGGGGGTCTATATTATAATTCAGGGTCCCATATTGTCGTACACTCCCAAATGGGAGGTTCCAGGTAGGGGGGGGGTGTATGTGGCGTAGAGATGATAACCCTAAACCCTAAACCCCAAACCGAACAAACCCTAAACCCCAAACCCGTTCTCCCTGCCGGAGGCCGCGACCACGTCGACATGGCTCGGCAAATCTTCGTCCGCCGCGGCCTGGACAAAACTGGCCGCGTTGCAGGGGTAGGGTTTAGGGTTTAGGGTTTAGGGTTCAGGGTTCAGGGTTTAGGGTTTAGGGTTTAGGGTTTAGGGTGTAGGGTTTAGGGTTTAGGGGTAAGGGGTTAGGGGTTAGGGGTTTCGGGTTTAGGGTTCAGGGTTTAGGGTTTCGGGTTTAGGGTTCAAGGGTTTACTTAGGGTTTGTGGCTTCATTAGGGTTTGCGGGGGGGGGGGGGGGGGGTCAGGTCCCTGCCGTGCTGGCATGCATCCCCGGCTGAGGGACAAGAAAACTGATGAGGGTTTGAGGTTGAAGGTTAAAAAGGGTTTGTATTGGGATGTTCCCCCTTATACTAACAGTCCTTGATAGGGATTACAGCACCCACCATTCTAATCCCTTCTAAGGACCGTGAGCAGACCAAGGTTTGTATGATGGAGAACTTAAGGCTTAAGGCTTAGGGCTTACAGGAATTTAGCGAAGACTGAACCCAGTGTCCATGCTGGTCTTTGACTGATGTCAAAGACAGCTGGCTACGTTTAGGGTTTAGGGATTAGGGTTTAGGGTTTAGGGTTTAGGGACTCTGAGTCTGAGCACTGTGACCTCCAGGTGTCGTGTTCAGGTTTCACTTGCCACTTGTTCGTTCCAAGCGCTGTGTTGAAAAAACGGTTTTTGATTCTCATCTCATGGTTGATGGGTGTCTCATGTACTTATCCTACAAATCTCAAACCCTCAACCCTGAACCCCTAACCCTAAACCCTACACGACGGGGGAAAAAAAACACTCCTAAACCCTAAACCCTAGGCCACAAAGCTCGATCTACATCCTCTTCTCATCCCTCCCCCGCCTTCCTCTCCAGCAGCCGAAAGCTGTGCTTCTTCTCGTCGTCTTTGCGGCTGTAGAACCTGGTCAGTCTTAGGGTAAAACCCCTAAAACCCCTATAACCCTAAACCCTAAACCCTGAACCCGAAACCCTAGGGGCCTTATGCCCTGTTCCGGGCAGTTCAGGGTCTAGGCAAGGGTCAGGGTTTGGGGTTGGGGTCTCGGGTTTACGGGTTAGGGCTTAACCCCCCAATGACAGTGACAAAGGGCTGAGCACTGCAGGTATCTGGAGCCACGAGAAGTAGTAAGGACTGACGTTGCCCTTTGCTGCACGTCGCTCGCGAACAAAAGGACTCCGGACAGTGAGCTATTTATTGATATAGAGTTGGTCTCAAGCCTAACCATGAAACCTAAACAACTACTTACTTAAGCGCTACAGAGGGAGGGCGGGTGGAGGGGCGAGGAGAGGGGAAGAGGGGGGGAGGGACGGGGGACGGAGGGAGGGGAGAAAGGAGGGGGGAGGGGAGGGGGAGGACTGGGGGGCTGTGTGCATGATCCAGCAAGAGCGATTTCCTCTTGGTCTACGAGCGCTTGACCGTTGAAGCTGCGAATGCGGCAAGATGTGGCACGGAAAAAGGGAGGCAGCAAAAGATGTAACCACTAAACACAACCATAGTGTCGTCTGAGAAGCAAAAGTCTTCACATGAGCAGATCTCTAATTTACGCTCCCTTCCGGGCTCCTCTTGAAAAAGATTTTCGCAGGGTTCAGAGCGAAGGACCAAGGGGGTTGTAGGGCCCGGTGCTTCAAGTGCAGTGCCGCCGTTCGTTCCATCCACATAGCCGATCTTAGCTTTGAGCTTACAGGCTTCGGGTTTAGAGCTTGGGGGTTTACCCAAAGAGGTGGCCAAATCTGGGGGCATGCTGGCCCTAAACCCACAACCCTAAACCCTAAACCCTGAACCCCAAACCCTCAACCCTAAAGCCTAAACCCTATAAATATAGGACCTGCATGTCCTGCCCCCACCCCCCCTCGTTGTAGCACCAAAGCGTTGACTGCAGATGAGGTTTAAACATGACATCAAGCCCTGGATGCCTAAACCCCCAACCCTAAATCCTAATGGTTTAGGGTTTAGGGTTTAGGGTTTAGGGTTTATAAACCCGAATCCTAAACCCTTTGGGCTTGTAATTAGGGCTGAACCTAATTAGGATTTAGGGAGTTCGGTTACAGAAGGCCCCTCCCAGCACAATCCAAACAACAAGCAGATGAACCCTCCAATTCCTTTCAAAATTGCACATCACAGCTACCGTCTCTTCTACCCTAACAATTAGAGGTCTTATAGCCTCTATGAAGGGTAGTTAGGAGGTCTAGGCAAGGAATACAAAGGGTGTCCGTTTTGGCCGTTTTGGTTTAGAGGGGCGTACATCAGGCAACCTACACCCCAACAAGGGAAATAAGGGCCTTCTCTGGGCCCTAGCCCTAAACCCTAAACCCTAAATCCTAAACCCTAAGCCCTAAATCCTAAGCCCTAAACCCTAAACCCTAAACTCTAAACCCTAAACCCTAAACCCTAAACGCCAAACCCTAAACCCTACACCCTAAACCCTAAACCCTAAACCCTAAACCCTGTGAAGAGGCACGGATGAACAGCTGTGAGGATTAAGGCAGACAGCAGCGTTCACATACTGGGATGTTACCCCTTACACGAACTGTCCTTAATAGGGATTATACTGGGGGGGGGTGGGTACTATAATCCCTATTCTGCTAGTATAATTAAGGGGGAATCGCCCAATTCACACATAACATCAAAAGGCAACAGAGTTCAGGGGGATTTAAAGCCAGAGGTGGCAGCAGAAAGCTTCTGGATGAATGGCTCACAGGCTAGGTTCCCAGAAAGGTTCTCGTAGGAACTTAGGGTTTAGGGTACGCATTTGTTGCACTTCCTTTCCTCGGCATATATCAGGCCTCCGGTGGGCCTTGATTCCCCTTGTTTTTCACAGGGGTTAGGGTCTAGAGGAGCTTAGGTGGGGTAGGTTCTCTGAGTCTCAACTCCGTTACACTCAGAAGGGGCCATACCGCGTACGGCGCCGATGAAGGTTGTTGGGGGGGGTATAGGTACACCCTAAACCCTGAAAAGCCAGCTGCTCGTTGTCTGCGTTCCACTCGCGCCACATTGTACCTAGAGCTGTGGTAACCTGCATTTATACAGAATTTCCCCTGGAGAAGGGACAGATTTTTCCGCCTGAAGAAGGGACAGATACCAGTAACTAAGGAACATGCCACTTTTTAAGTACCTACAATTTGGAAGCCTTAAAGCCCAATACATCTTGGGGGTCTAGGCCGTTCGGGATTCATGAGGTTTCCTTGGGGCTCTCTTCAACTACAACTTTTATGGTCCCTGATACATTTATAGACAGAGAAAGGCGGCAGAAGCTGGCGTGGCCAAAGGGTAAAGTTTGTAGGGTTGGGGGTTAGCAGCAAAAAAACCTAAAGAAAGAGCCGAGGTAAGCCGCCGGCCACCATAGGCGAACCTGGCACACACGCAGTGGCAGGCTTTCTCAACCCATCAGGAACCGGTTTATACAGGGTTAAAAACCCTAAACCCTAAACCCTAAACCCTAAACCCTAAACCCCCATTCTCACGGCGCTTGAGCCCGAACCCCAAAGACCCAATGCCTCGACCTCCCAGGGCACCAACCAACTCCAGGTTTGAACCACAGATCTCCTAAGGCTCTGAATGCAACTTACAACCCCGAAACCCTAAACCCTAAACCCTAAACCCTAAACCCTAAACCCTGAACCAAAATCCTACAACAAACCCCCAGAAAACATAGGTTTCTTGGGATGCTCCCCCTTATACGCGCAGCTCCTTAACAGGGATTATAATAGGGGGTAAAGTCATCCCCATTAAGGACTGTTAGCTTAAAGGGGAAACATCCCAATAGGCTTCAAACAAGGAAACCCAAACACCCGGCCCTAGACCCTGAACCCTAGAAATCTCACTGATTCCCGGACCCCCTAAAATCCTGCACACGCGCCTTTGTCCGACTGTCGATCTTGTCCAGGCCGCAGTGTTCAAGAAGGATCCTGGGGAGTTACGGGTTCAGGGATGTAGGAACTCAGATGTTTAGGTCAGAAACAAGGTTAGGATTCATCTTACATTCTTACAGTTACCTATACTAAGCCCTATAAACCCTAAACCCTAAACCCGAAGACCTGTGAACCTAGATTTGGGGTGTTTTTTAGGGACGTGGAGGAAGAAGGGCACGACTAGGATTGCGGAGTGCCATACCCCAGAATGGAACCTGAGGGTTTAGGGTTTAGGGTTTAGGGTTGAGGGTTTAGGGTTTAGGGTTTAGGGGGTACATTAGGGACTCAGCGCGCAGTTGCGTGATCCTTTAATAAAGTCCCTTGGGTTCAATTGGCTGCGCTTTGGGGTTTAGGGTGCTGAAGGAGTCATGGGCCACGGGTGTCTGCAGCATTTGGCGCGCATGGGATGTTCCCCCTTATACTAACAGTCCTTAATGGGGATTACAGTGCCCCTTATGATAATCCCTATAAGGGACTGCTAGTGTAGGCGGGAACATGCCAATACAAGGGCTCGAAGATCGACACCCATTAAGATTTGGAGCGCCAGGCTGTGGAGAGAGCAACTGGCCTTGCTTCTCAAGCTTCCCCTTGAAGGCTCTGAATACAACTTACAAGCTGCAACATTGGGGTTTAGTAGGGTACCCCTGAAACTCTAAACCCTAAACCCCCCACTGTGGACCGAGGTAAACCCTGAGCCTTCTCCACGGCGTGCTGGTTTTTGGGGTTCGGAGAATGGACCTACCAGGCCCGGGGCAACACGCAACATGATTCAGGGTATAGGGTTTAGGGTTGATAAGGTTTAGGGTTCAGGTATGGCTCGGGGGAGGTGCGGGTTTGGGGGGCTGGGTTCAGTTCAACGAATCTCAGGCCATCTGTGGGGTTTAGGGTTTAGGGTCGTAAACCATGTTAGCAGCCTACACGCCAAACCAGGTTTTTGGGCTAGGACGGCGCCCTCAGTGGCTGGGCTAAAGACAAAAAGGCTTGAAGAACCTGAACCCTAAAGACCCTGAAGACCCCACAGACCCAGACCCTAAAGACCCTTAAAAGGCCCTACATACCCGAAAGGTCCTACAAGCCTACACCCCACCCAACTGCAACCCGAACCTTATAACTTATAAGGTGTATGTTTGCTCCACTGGTCTTGCAGCGCCAAATGAACGAAACCCTGGACCCTAAACCCCAAACCCTAAACCCTAAACCCTGAACCCTGAACCCTGAACCCTGAACCCTGAACCCTGAACCCTGAACCCTGAACCCTGAACCCTGAACCCTGAACCCTGAACCCTGACCCTGAACCCTAAACCCTAAACCCTAAACCCTAAACCCTAAACCCTAAACCCTAAACCCTAAACCCTAAACCCTAAACCTACAGTAGGGCCCACGGCTCCAAGAGTATCGTTGCGCCTGAAGACACCTCCAGGGCCAGCATCTGCTGTCCAGCCTGTGGGGACCTCCGGGGCTTTTTGGGTCTAGCCCTAAACCCTAAACCCTAAACCCGAAACCCCACACCCTACACCCTACACCCTAAGCCCTAAACCCCTAAACCCTCAACCCAAAACCCTGAGCCCGAAGCCCTGAGGCTTGGTCCCTTTTCAGGGCAGGGCTTCAGGGGACCGTTTAGGGTCCCTCCCCCCCCCCCCCCCCCCTTTGCGAGGGTCCTGCCCCCGCCCCCCCCCCCCCCCCCCCCCCCCAAAGGGACCCTCCTTACCTACAGTTTTATGGGTACCTAGTGATTTCAGAGTAGTTGCGATTAACCTGTAGGTAAATAGAGTCCCAGGTAGTGCTTAGGGCTTCCCCTCACTCCCGCCTCTGCCCCGCCTCCCCACAAAAACAGACTCACGGTTCGCTTTGGGGCCCTGGAAGTTGTCATTCCTTCGTTGAGCCGGGGAGCTTAGAACCCTAAACCCTAAACCCGGTGATGGTGTTCTTTCTTTCATTTGGGGGTGGTTTTTGAACCCTAAACCCTAAGCCCTAAACCCTAAACCGGATACAAAAGCAAGCACTATTGGAACCCTGAAACCCAAACCCCACATCCCGACAGAACTAGCGTACGACGACCTTGCTCAGAAGAACCCCTTGAACCTGAAGCCCTAAACTCTACACCCCTGAAACCAGTGAATAAGGGCCTACTCTGGGTTCTAGCCCTAAACTCTAAACCCTAAACCCTAAACTTAAACCCTGAACCCTAAACCCTAACACACAGGTTAGTTTCCGAGGGGGCCTGGTGTCCCAATCCCTCCGAGTAGGTGTGGATGTTACCTGGCTGGGCTGCGAGAGGGGTGGAGACGCTGGGTCGGTTTTAGGGCCTTAGGGAGTTTGAGGGTTTGGGGTTTGGGGCGGGGGCGGGCAGGGGTTTGGGGTTTTAAAGTTTTGGGGTTTTGGGGTTTTGGGGTTTGGGGGTTTGGGGGTTTGGGGTTTCGGTTTGGGGTTTGAGGGTTTGAGGGTTTGAGGGTTTGAGGGTTTGAGGGTTTGAGGGTTTGAGGGTTTGAGGGTTTGAGGGTTTGAGGGTTTGAGGGTTTGAGGGTTTGAGGGTTGAGGGTTTGAGGGTTTGAGGGTTTGAGGGTTTGAGGGTTTGAGGGGTTGAGGGTTTGAGGGTTTGAGGGTTTGAGGGTTTCAGGGTTGCAGGGTTTCAGGGTTTGAGGGTTTGGTGCTTGGGGTTCATGGATACATGGGGCTGTTCAAAGTTCGGTTTTCTGTAGAGGATGCCTGCGTACCAGTCGCTCACAAAGAAAGTTCCTGTAGAGCCTTAAAAAACAACGCGCATGTGGGGTTGAGGGTTCAGGGTTTCGGGGTAGGGATTCGGGCTTAGGGTTTAGGAAGTCGTGTTTAGGATATTTAGGTCTTAGAGTTTCGGGTTTGGGTTTGCGTTTACGGTTTCCGAGGGGTTGTGGGATGCCTTTGACATGAATACTGGTAAAACCACTGCCAATCTGAGCACCACCACCAGTCGCTCTCCTTCTTGCACTTAAAGAAAACGCCAACAAACTCCCATAAACAAAAAAACTGAACTTCCCTAACCCTAAACCCTAAACCCTAAACCCCAAACCCCAAACCCTAAACCCTAAACCCTAAACCCACCGGGTCTGTCTGGCAACCTTTTCTCCACAGGCCGGTGTTCTCACAGTCAGGCTATACCAGACTCTTGGACTGTTGTTGTTGCTCCCCTAAATTACTAAACCGAAACCTCAATGCCAGCCCTCGAAGATTCGCCCCTCACGTATCGGCTGTGGTTGAAAGCTAAACGCAAAACCCAAAACCCTACACCCTAAACCCCAAACCCTGGACTATCCGGATGGACCAAAGAAGCAGTGGAATGGTATCTGGGTGGGCAGCCCAAACCAAGCTTTCAACTGTGAAATTCCCTGGCCGAAAACCCAAACCAAGCTTTCAACTGTGGAATTCGCTCGCCGAAAAACACAAACCAAGCTTTCAACTGTGGAATTCACTGGCCGAAAAGCCAAAACCGAGCTTTCAACGATGCGGAATTCACTGGCCGAAAAACCAAAACCAAGCTTTCAACCTGTGGAATTTCAATGGCCGAAAAGCCCAAACCAAGCTTTCAACGATGTGAAATTGCAGAAGACTGCTCAACCAGAATCCAGCAGCCACCGGAAACCCTACTGTAGGTGATGCAGCTGCCAACCCGAAACCCTAAACCCTAAACCCTAAACGATAAACGATAAACGATAAACGATAAACCCTAAACCCTAAACCCTAAACCCCAAACCCTAAACCCTAAACCCTAAGCCCTAAACCCTAAACCAAACCCTCATCGCTGTAGCCGCTCATGTCAAAGCGGCGTGCACCTGAGAGATGAAGGTTTTCAGAGTTGAGTGGGTTTAGGGTTTAGGGTTTAGGGCTTAGGGCTTAGGGTTTAGGATTTAGGGTTTAGGGTTTAGGTTTCGAAGTTTAGAGGCTTTAGGGTTTAGAGTTTAGGATTTAGCAGGGCTTAGGAGTTCAGGGTGAAGGGCACGTGGGGTTTGAGGACTTCGGGTATTGGGGCGCAAGGCGCGCGGCTTGAGCCGGGGACCTAGACCTGCTAGAACGATACTGGGACATCTGCACCCTACCCCTACAAACCAGTTTCGGGCGAACACAGCCCTTGCACACGTGATTTCCATGAGCAGGATCCCCTCAACATTCCGCCATAAAGAACATGCAGGATCCAGGGTTCAGGGTTCAGGGTTT